TGGGATTATAGGAGGTAAAGGGTTAGAAGAAGATGAGATATGGGATTGTTGTTGAGGCTGTTGCTGTGTTTGAAGGTGAGAGTTTATAACAGGAGTTTGAGAGGGGACATGTATGTTAAGCAGTGGATCATTGTCATATGAAACAAGATGAGGAACATGAAATAAAGAGGAAGAGTCAGTGAGTTTAGATTCAAAAGGAAAGACATTCTCATAAAAAACCACATTTCTGGAGATAAATGTTCTCTTGGTTTCCAGGTTATAAAGTTTATAGCCTTTATAACCAAGAGGATAACCAATGAGGATGCACTTAGATGCCCTGTGATCAAATTTTGATCTATGTGCAGATAGAGATGATGCATAACATAAACATCCAATAACTTTCAAGTGATCATATGATGGAGCTTTCTTATAAAGTAACTCAAATGGAGATTGATTGTTCAAAATAACTGAAGGTACTCTATTAATGATATGAGTGGCAACCAATATGCAATCAATCCAGAAAGATAATGGCAAGAATGCATGAAATAACAAAGCTCTAGCTACCTGCAGGATATGTTGATGCTTTCTTTCTACCCTGCCATTTTGTTGTGGTATTTAAACACAACTTTTCTGATGTAAAATGCCATGAGAAGAGTAGAAATCATAAAGTAGGAACTCAGAACCATTGTCAGATCTTATAATTTTTATTTTAGTATTGAATTAAGTCAAAACCAAGTTATAAAAGTTGGTTAGATGAGTTCTAGTTTCAGATTTATGAATGAGGGGATAAATCCATGTGACTCTACTGTAATCATCCACAATAGTAAGAAAGTATTTATGGCCAGAATGAGATGCAGTGGAGAAAGGTCCCTAAATGTCACAATGAATGAGATCAAATGGAGATGAGCAAGTAGATGTGCTAACAGGAAATGAAAGTTTCTTTTGTCTAGAGAAATGACAAACATCACAAGGAGTAGCATTGTTCTGAACAGAAGATTTACAAAGATCTAGTTTATTCAATTTTATGGGTCAAATAAGAAATATTCCTTTTTAGGTTTTTGAGTAAGATAGATGGCCTAGTTTGTGATGCCATATAGTGTTTTCAGGTAGGGTTACAGGGTTATTATGAACAGTTTCAGCAGCATGAACATGATGGGATACATGGTTATTATGAACAGAGAAATGATATAGGCCATCTATAAGTTTAGCAGAACCAATCACTTTGGTGCTGACTAGATCCTGTATGACACAATGAGAAGACAAGAAATTGATGCCACAATTAAGGGTTTTGTCAAGTTTGGATACAGAAATGAGATTAAACTTGAATGATGGTACATATAGAGCATTGTGTAAAACAATGTGTGGAGATAGCTGGACATTGCCAATATGAGTAGCAGTAGTCTGAAAGCCATTTGGCAAATTAATTTGTATAGAAGTGCTCATGAGATTGTTTTTAAACATAGACATATCACAGACCATGTGATCTGTGGCACCAGTATCAAGAATCCAGGAACAATCAGATAAATGTGAAACAGATGCACAAGAGAAATGAGAAGACATACCTTGAAGATCAGCAAATGCAGTTGCAATGATAGGGCTAGGAGCATTGTTACCAGATGTGGTAATGCCCTGTTTAGCATCCTGAGCCCTTTTAAATGCTACAAACTCATTAAACAAACCATCAGTCATGGAATGTGCATCAAAAGTATTAGTGGTAGCATTTTGGTCAGGAGGATTGGTGGTAACAGCATGAGCAGAAGATTGTTTTCTGGGGCCTTTGGGACCTATCCAATTGGGTGGGTAACCAATCAATTGAAAGCATATATCAGAGGTATGACCAAGGTAGCCACAATGAGAGCATTTGGGTCTGTTAGTGGATTGCCTGGAATCTTTAGGATATAGTGGTTTGTTGGTTTTGAAGGTGTGAGGAGTAGTGTTTGTTTTGACAGCCATGGCTAGAGGTTCAAAGGGTTTTGCTGTATTGGTCAAGGCTCGTTGGCTTTCCTCTTGAAGTAGAAGAGAGTATACAGTCGAAAGAGAGGGTAATGGTGCGGATAAAAGGAAATGACTACGAAGGGAGGAGTATGAGTCATTCAGCCCAACCAAAAATTTCATTACAGAATCAAATTGCTGAGCAACAGATATAGCATCATACAGATTACAAGTACAGTGAACAAGAGCACCACATGTGCATTTAAAAAGTGGTATGTATGTGATATACTCATCCCATAGTGATTTAAACATGTTGTAGTATTGAGTGACAGACATAGAACCTTGATCAATGGTATTAAGAGATTTTTCTAATTGGAAAACCCTAGGGCCAGAACTTAAAGCGTATCGTGTCTTAATCTCATCCCAGACTTCCTTTGCAGTAGTAAAAAACAACAGAGATTGGCGAATGTCTTTTGCAATAGAGTTTAACAGCCACGACAATACAAGATTGTTTGCCCGCATCCAAGACAAATATAGAGAGGGATTACCAGTCGATGAAGGAGGAGAGATAGAGCCATCGACGAAACCTGCTTTGTTATTGACACTGAGGGCCATTTGGATTGCGCGGCTCCAGGAGACATAGTTGTCGCCGGTAAAAAGCTCGGCCACTATGAGAGCGCCGGGATTGTCACTGGCGTGTAGGTAATACGGCGACGAGATGTCATCAGTGAGATTCACAGTAGTAGCCATAGAAATTGAGATCGGATAAAAAAAAATCGCGAAATTAGGGTTTGTGAGAACAGATCTATAGAAGAGGGGTAGATCGATAGAGATTTGAGGTGCGGAAGTGAAAATCAGTCACAAATCAGAGATTTGTGACCTCTGATACCATATTTGATTATAGATCGAACAGATTCAAAGAGAGATTTGCAGAAAGCAAGAGAAAGAACGAGAGTATGAAAAATACATCAATAATTTCAGGATAATGAAAAACTGCGGTACAAAAGAGGTGGTTTCAGTATTTATACCTACTCATAATCCTAAACCTAAAAGAGAAAAGTTGCTTTATACAAGTAGCAACTTTAGCTGTAGATGAAATAACAATTAATATAAAAATACTTCATATACTATGAATTACATATGAAATGTATCTTTAACGTCAGAGGAATGATTTGAGTAACCACAGTGGATACAAGTGGTTTTTGGTTTGTCTTTAATTTGTTGTAAGGTGGTTTGGTAGAAGGATTCTGTTTTGTGTTAGGATCTTTGGTGAAATAGGATTTCTGGTTTTTATAGAAAGTAGGCTGAGACTTGGCTATCATAGCAAGGGATTCAGTGGTTTGAGGGTTATTTGATAGGAATCTCTGGCTTTCTTCCTGTAGTAACAAGGAATAGACAGTGGACAGAGAGGGTAGAGGAGTGGACAACAAGAAATGACTCCTTAAAGATGAATAGGAATCATGTAAGCCAACTAGAAATTTATTTATTCCTCTAGTTTTTAATTTTTCTTGATTTAAATATTTTCTAAATTTCAACTTTTTGGACCAATGGGAGAAGAAGCTGAAATAATAATAAAAGTGACGTCATTTTAATCCAATGTTTGGTGGACTGTGACAGAGGCTTAAATACTAAAGGGAAAAAAAAATAAATAAATAACGTAAGTTGAATTTTCGGAAATTTGTTGGTTAATATTTTACATCATTTAGGTGAAAGGTACTTTTTATTAAAATATAAATTGTTTTCTACTTAATTTCACACACAAACAATGGGTTAAGGTACCAATTCTTGTTTCATTAATTTATATATATATATATATATATATATATATATATATATATATATAACAAAATTGCATAATTATATTTGAAACGTCATATTTTTTTATGTTTTGTTTTAAATTACGAGATTCTAATTTGAAAATATGCAGTGTGTGTTAAAAAAATGTGATTATCTAACTGTTCGTCCTGTCTAACAACAATTTTACTGTACTTTAGCTGATAAAATATATATTTAAGGAAGATTCATGTACTGCCAACCTTAGCATATAACTAAACTAATTAGATTTTATTAGCACTAGAATTATCTTAATAAGTTATAACTAGCTAGCTATATAACAATGGCGCCCAAATAAATTGCATTATAGTATTTCCAAAAATTATAATATTTATGTATTCTATTAATTAATAAACAAATTGGGTTTGATTGATCTGTGAGATCAACTTGGTCTCAGAAACTCTCGTTGTGTGCTAATTAGAACTTGCCACATGTTGTATTAGGGTGGGTTAT